AAAAAAAAAAAGGGTGGTCATAAACCTGGAGTGGAGGGACCACTGGTGGGAGGCTGTGTCGAGGCATAGATAACATGGACTTAGGAAAAGGTGGCGGGATTGGTGGGGGCTGTCCCCAGGGAGAGCCAACTGAGTAGCTAAGCACTGGGGCATTTCCTTCCAGGTCCCATCACTACCTATTAATATATTGTTACTTTTATTTTGTGTTTGTTTGGGATAGAGTCTCATTTTGTTGCCCTTGGTAGAGTACTGTGGCGTCACAGCTCACAGCAACCTCAAACTCTTAGGCACAAGTGATTCTCTTGTCTCAGTCTCCCAAGTAGTTGGGACTACAGGCACCCACCACAAATGCCTGGCTTTTTTTTTTTTTTGGAGATGGGGTCTTGAATTTACTCAGGCTGGCTCGAACCTGTGAGCTCAGGCAACCCACTCTTCTCAGCCTCTCAGAGTGCTAGGGTTACAGAGGTGAGCCACCACGCCCAGCCTTGTCTTGTTTTGAGATTGAATCTTGCTCTTTTGCCTCAGCTAGAGTGCCATGGTTTCAGCCTAGCCTCCAAAGCAACCTCACACTCCTGGACTCAAGCAATCCTCCTGCTTCAGCCTCCCGAGTAGCTGGAGTCTACCGGCACCTGCCACATCCAGCTGAGATCTGTTTTCTGAGAGATTTCCTCAATTCAGTCTTTCAATTCTATTAGACTTTAGAAATTTCCAGTACTCTATTTGTAACTGGCAAGGGCCCTTTCTCTGCTTGTTTTCCCAAATGTCACCTTCTATTTTCATATGTGCATCTCCTTAAGGTAAGGTGACCAGATTTTAACTTTGGTAAAGTGGGACACCATTGGGGGGCGGGTCCTGACAACAATGCAAACTTTGATAAGCAGTTCTCGATAATCAGTTCTCAACAATTATTTGTTATTATTAAAGGTTAACATTATAAAATTAACAGAAATAATATAAAACGCATATCCTGGCGAAATAGCTGCATGGCAGCCGAAAACCGTATATTCTCTTCCCGTTCTCCCGTGTTCCCTAGCTTGTCGTGCATTCTTTCCAAAAATTGGGGCTTTTTTTAAATGCCTCAGGATGCAGGACAAATTATTAAAAATCGGGACTGTCCCGCCAAAAGCGGGATGTCTTACTCTGGGGGGGGGGACCTATTTGTTTGTTCCAGTTTGGCTCCTTCTGAGCTAATTGTCCTTGCCTAGAAGCAAGAGAGGGAGCCCAGGAGGGGAGTAGGGAGTTTACATTAGCCTTTTCATTTCCAAATGAAGTTACATTAACCTCTTCATTCCCAAATGGAGTTACATTAACCTTTTTAGCAGCCAAAAACCGTATATTCCCTTCCCATTCTCCCACTGTTCCCTAGCTTGTCAGGTTCTAGAGTGCCATGGCATCACAACTTACAGAGGGGAGTTTTTATATATATTAAAAAACTT